GAAGTACATACCCAAAGTTGAGTAAAAAAACCTTTAAAAAGTGAATTTTGCATAATAGGTCCCCTTTAAATAATTATCTGACCTGCTTGTTTAGTTCAGTGTTTATATCAGAACCTGTCCCTAACCGGATGCTCCAGTGCAGCATTTATTTGGAACGTAGCGTCATGTTTAAAGTAAAGTATCGACCGAGGAACTTTAGCATTGACCGCTTGACGTCACTATCATATTTTTCTGTGGATTATCCGTCACCAAGGACATGGAAAATTAAAAGAAAAGAAAAAAAGATGAAGCAACTGAACTTCTGTTCTGTATCTCAAGACTTGTTCTGAAGACAGGATTTACATCATGACTCCAGGTTAGTGTAGCTAACGCCAATTAAGGAATAAGTGGCTTTATTGTAAGTTCTATATAGTTATAAAATGAAAGCATTGCATATTCGTAGTTTGTTTTTGTTTATTAGCGTTTCCCCCACTATTAACCAAGTCCCCACACACAGAGAATTTCAGGCATGTAGTTATTTATTGATTCTAAATAACACCAGGATCACATTGAGAGCTGTTGAAAATATGGTTCATATTCTGTCACCAACACTGACCCACACAGAGTCACGTGCACTAGTTATTTTATTTTATTTTTTGTGTGTAACCCCACCAACACCACTAATTCCCTAGGGGGGAACACTGGTTTTATTCCAATAGAAAAGTATTGATAAGAGAACCGTCAAAATACCGGATTGATAAGCAGTACTGATAAGAGTAGTAGTAGTATCGATAAAACCTTAACGATACCCGTCCCTACCGGTAAGAGTTTCAGATTCAAACTGAGAATCCGAAACTTTGAATCTGAAACTCCTACCGGGGTTTAATTTGGCTGTTCGCAGGCGCCGTGTTGGTGTTCATGCCCGGCCTCGCCGAGATCAAGATGCTTTACGAGCAGCTGCAGTCCAACAGGTTGTTCAACAACAGAGGATCCTCCAGGTCTGCGTTAACACAGGAAACATGAKTTGTGTGGAAGATATTTTATTAATCATCGTTTGTCTCACTCCAGGTGCGTGGTGTACCCGCTCCATTCCACCCTGTCCAACGAGGAGCAGCAGGCAGTTTTCAGCCGTCCTCCAGAGGGCGTCACCAAGATCATCATCTCCACCAACATCGCGGAGACCTCAGTAACCATCGACGACGTGGTGTACGTCATCGACTCGGGCAAGATGAAGGAAAAGAGGTGACCTTTTAAATCAGGGGTGAGCAATCCTGGTCCTGGAGGGCCGCAGCCCTGCGTGTTTTACATGCTTCTCTGCTCCAACACACCTGATTTGAATGAATAGATGATTATCAGGCTTCTGCAGTATGGAGGACCGAAACKGACATAATTAGAAATAAAAGCAGAATTATATAAATGAACCGCTAAATAAATACATTTGAAATGCGCCAATTAAAATAACAAAGGAGAACTTTATCTCATGTTTTTTGTTTGAAATGACTTTAATATTTATTTTTCCAGCTTAGTTTAAATTAGTCTATATATTTTAACACATAATTTAAATTAGAATGTTTTTTAAAATACATATTTTTTTGCTTTTCCTTTTACTTCTACATGCGTTTGTGTCTCTTAAATGTTTATACTTAATTATTGTTATATTTCTCCCACAAGTCTTTTGTATTTCTGTGTTGCAGGCGTGTGCTGCTTCAGTTTAGCTTAAAGTTTAGTTTAAAACAAAGACAAGGAGAAAAACTTACCCGTGGCTTTTTTTAAACTAAACTTTAAACTAAACTGAGGCAGCACACGCCTGCAACACATCGAAACAAAAAAGACTTGTGGGACAAAACTATAAAAATATTTCAATTTAAACATTTAAGAGACCAATGTATGTACAAGTAAAAGGGAAAACTGAAAAATATATATTTAAAAAAAACAGTCAAATTTGAATTGTTAAAAAATATCAATTAAATGAGAATTAAATTACAAAACCTGAGGTGAAGTTCTTTTTTAATTGAATTGGTGCATTTTAAGTGCATTTATTTATTTGGTGGTTCATTTATATATTTCTGCTTTTATTTATAATTATGTCAGTGTCGGTCCTCCATACTGCAGAACTTAGAAGGTAAATCAGTGTCTGAATCAGGTGTGTTGGAGCCAGGAAAAACGTAAAACATGCAGGGCTGCGGCCCTCGAGGACCAGGATTGCCCAAACCTGTTTTAAACTTTGATGGTGTTTTAGTTCGGAATCTGCGGTTCTAATTTTGTTTCCCCCTCAGGTACGATGCGTCCAAAAGCATGGAGAGCCTGGAGGACTCGTGGGTGTCTCGGGCCAACGCACTGCAGAGGAAGGGGCGAGCMGGTCGCGTGGCCTCGGGGCTCTGCTTCCAYCTCTTCACCAGCCACTGCTTCCACCACCAGCTGTGTGAGCAGCAGCTGCCTGAGATCCAGAGGGTTCCTCTGGAGCAGCTCTGCCTCCGGTACGTCCGTGTGTGCAGCTTCTGTGGCTCCCTAAAACATCYGGCCCCATCAGGAGTAACGAACCAGTGCTGTTAGTCTTTTAWACTTTCTGAATTATTTAACTTTATTTACAAAACTTTCCCCCTAGAAATAATCTGAAATCTCCTCGAGAGGAGTGTTCTCTTTAGCTCTTATGCTACTTTAGGTTTTTAGCTAGTCTGGCTAAGCTTCACTTTTAGCTACAGTTTTGTTAATTTAAGCTTTTAGCCAYGATTTTGCACAAATGAATTTTTAACTTTAGATTTACCACGTTTAGCTCTTAGTTACTGTTACTATATTTTTAGCTACATTTTATTGTTTATATATGGTTTTGTTAAAATTAGCTCTTATCAGTTGCACCTTTTTTTAAGGTTTTGTGATTTTTAATTTTAGCTAATATTTTGATCATTTTAGCTTTAGCTATTGTTTTATTCATCTTAGTTTATTAGCTGCTTTTTTGCTTATTGTGGCTTAGTTATTTTTTCTTTGAAATTGTTTTGCTAATTCAAGCTTTTAGCTACATATTTGCCAAACTTTTGTTTTTAGTGACAATTTTAGCATTTAGCTATAGTTTTGCTACATGTAGCTTTAAGCTGTTCTTTTGCTAAATGTACCTTTTCATTTACATGTTTTTAGTTTAACTTTTATTTTAGCTACTGTTTTATCATTTTATCTTTAGCTATTTTTTCATTCGTCTTAGTTTTTTAGCTTCTCTTTTGTTAATTGTGGCTTTGAGATGTGTTTATACTTTTTTTTAGCAATTGTTTTAATTTTTTTTAAATTTTCTACAGTTTTTCTAATTCAAGCT